AAAAAAAAACCAAAAAAAAAAACAAACCCAAAAGATAAAAGGTTGAAAAAAAAATTGGAGTCGACATTGAACAATCCGGAGATTTTACATAAAAGTCCACATTTCTGGCTGTCCCAGAACACTCAAGCCTTTGTCCCCACAAGGGGTCTGAGCTCACCAGTTTGCCACAGGCCCCACCACTCCCTCCCACCTCCCTGATTCCAAAGCTGAGGCAGAGTGTCTGTTGCCCTTTATCCCCACCCATGTGACCCTGGAGTCACTCCTTGGGGCAAGACACAACACGTGTCCCCGGGGCTGGCCCTCAACTCACCTCTGGTCGCATCTCCTGACACACCCCCAACATCCAACCTCCCAGCCACACTGAGTCACCGGCTCGTCCCTACATATGCAGTTCCTCTTGTCTGGAATGTCCTTCTCCATGATCCCTCTTCCTCCTTGGTCATCCTCTCTACCTGGTGAACTCCTACTCATCCTCCCAGGCCAAGGCCCAACTTAAATGCCCCATCTAATGGGAAGGTCCCCCAACCCTCAGAGGTGGAGCTGGTCACTCTTTCTTCTGTATAACCAGCCTCCATTTGAACACTTCCCAGATTTTATTGGTTATCTGTGGCTGTCTCTCTCATTAGACTGATATCCTAAAAGGCAAAAACTCCACAGCTCTAATGCTTGGCCTGGCTACACAGGAGGTTTTGCGTACAGCAGGGAGCCAGCCCCCAAAATGGAGAATGAGGGGTGGGTGTGCCTCATCTGGGTTTATCACAGAGGCATGTCGCGGGTAAGGGCTCACACAGTGTGGCCCCACCGCTCACCTGCTATGTGTCCCTGGGTAAGTTACTTAACCTCTCTCTGCCTCGGTTTCCTCATCTGTAAAATGGTACCAGCAGTAGTATCTGTCTTATGGGGCTGCTTGAGAACTTCCACAACACAGAGGCTGGGCTTAAAATAGTGTCTGACATTAGCTCATTATTATGATTTTCATCAGGGAGACCTTGAAGGCTTTGATGATTTGAGAGAGGTGATTTGGCAAATGGATTGACCCTAAATTTCCTGCAAAGAAAAAAAAAAGCTCCCAGTCCCACCTTCTGATTTGGCTATGTTCTTGAGACAGCGTGTACCTGGCTGGCTGAGGTGGGTGCTGAAACCATGTATTTAACATCACCATCATTATTATCATCATCATCTATGGTCAAACGAACAAAGATGAATTCTAGGGGAAGAAGGCAGAGAATGAGTGATTGCTGGGCACTTAACTTGTGCCCTGCTGTGGAAGCACTGATGGACACCTGTCATTTTACACTTCCAAGTGCTGGGGGGACAAGGCCATGTGACAGGTGTAGAAACAGAGGCTCAGAGACCGGAAGAGACTGGCCCAGAGACACACGGGATGGCAGGCAGGGGAGGGGATGCAGGACCAAACCCTGTGCACCCTAGAGCCAATGCCCTAAGAAAGAGAAGCCGCAAATCTTGGACTCCAAGTGAACAGTGGGAGGGGGACATCCCCAGAGTCCTCACCAAGCCTCCAAAACCACACCCAGACATAAAGGATGCTAGAATGACTCCCCATTTCTTCCAAACTTTGAAAAAGCTCTATGGGGCAGAATTTAGGGTTGTTTTTTTTTTGGAAGAGGTAATACATGCACACGATTAAAAAAATCATCAAGCTGTATAAAAAGGCGCACCGTTAGGGTCTCTTTCTCATTCCTGTTCCACAGCCCCCTGCCCAGAGGTACCGCCCTTCCAGCCTTGTGCCCTGCCATGCACATAACGAGTTTTTCCTCTAAGTGAGCAGCATAATGCACACGTCCTTCTGACCGTGCTCTGCTCACTCAGCTGTCTATGTCTAAGCAGGTGCCACATGGTTTATAGAGCGGCCGTGTTGCATGTTCGTTTTTATGGCATAGACATGAATTTCAAACGTCTTCTCCAGCTGCTGAGCAAATCCACTGCAGGAGATTAGCTGTCAATCATACTTCCCAGCTCACGTCCTTCCCCTTCTCGCTTGCAAACCGAAGTTATGATGCCTCCTGATAAAGAATCCCACCAGGTGGGCAAAACACCCTCCACCTGAAATCTTGCACCTTTGTGACCCACATGTCAGAATCATTTTCACCTCTCCTACCCCTCCTTCAAGCCCTAACAGCCCACTGGTTGCTGTAATGATGAACAAGCCCAAACGAGGGAGGTCTTTTTGAAGGTCAATGCCGACTTAGACCAACCCAGCTTTTCTAGCTGCCTTCCTTGCCCCAAGCCTGCAAATGGGCCCCAAAGTTCCGATGCTGTGCAGATCAGACATTGGGGGACAGAGATAGGAAGGCCTCTCTATGAAACCTGTGAGTGTTGTTCCAGGCTGGGACTTAGCGGGTGGATAGGTGCCAAGTCTGCTCAGCCGAATCCCAAGTGTCCAACAGCCCACACTCTGTGTCTGCTCCCTGCACCCTGTCCCTAGACTGGGAGGACAGAGACAGTGTCTCAGGACCACTGGGCCTCACAGTCTAGCACAATGCCCTGGCTCACAGAAGGTATGAAATAAATTATTCGTTGAGTGAATGAATGAATGAATGAATAAAACCCACAAAGGCAGGTAGGCAGTATTTCTACCAGAATGGCTTTCTGATACTGATGGGGTTTTCAGTCCATGTTTGGGCAAGACGCTCAGGCCCTCTGACTCCAGACTTCTCCCGAAACTAACTCAGGCACCGGAAGGGAGGAATGTGACCCCAGGAGAGAGCTCTCTAGTGGGAAACCTGGGGCAGCCAGCAAAGGGGGCACTGGACCCAAGACCCCAGGCCCCGGGAATCAAGGAACTTGTCCAAGGCCACACGGCCACTTAAGCGGAGGAGGCAAAATTCAAGCCTTGACCTATGAGATTCCAGCGCCCTTGCTGGTTCCTTCAGTTATTAATAGCACTTATCATGACGTAAGGAAACGGTGTGTTTCTGTGTCCGCCCGCCTGCTCAGCCACGCGCTGTCTTCAGGGACAAAGACCAAAGCCCATTCATCAGTGTGGTCCCGGGACTTGGCACGGGGCCTGGCTCCAGACCTGGCTGATAAATATTTGTTCATTAAATGGTAGCTAAGGGCTGGCTTCCCATGCTCTCGCCTTTCCTCCTGTGCAAGGGAATTCGCCCTCTCGCACACTGTGGTGGAAACTGCAAATCCGACCAGGTCCCCGGAGGGCCATTGGCAGCACCTTCTAAACTTCACAATGTGCATGCCCTTTGACTCAGTAATTCCTCTTCTAGGAAAGTTACCTTACAGAAGCAACCATACAAGGATATGAAAACATGTGGACAAGGATGTCTGTGACAACAGTGAGCTGGAATCAGCACGTCCACCCTCAGGAGGCTGGTTACATAAACCGTGGCTCAGCCGGATAACGGAACATGACACAGCTGGAAAGAAGAACGTGGTGGCTGTTTACGTGCTGGTCTGAAAGGTATGTCAGCTGAAAAGGGGCCGGAAAGGATGGTGTGCGCAGCATGCTCCCATCTGTGCTTAAAATGACGACATAGGTATTTCAAAGCCTGAATGTATTTTTAAAAAATTCTAGAAGAACACAGACCTGACAGTTAAACATACTTGACAAGGGAAAGACTGCAGTGCTTGCGAAGAAGTGGTCTGAGCTGTTAGTTGGTGGTAGGAAGAGGACACGAAGCCTCACTGGAAGTTTTTTTTCAGTCCAGGTTCATAAACTAATTGAACAGATAGATGAACAAGCCCCTTTCCTCTCATGTCCCCAGAATATCTTTCCCACGGAGATCAAGGCACAAAGCATCCAGCTTCTGCCGTCACAGACCCTCGTGGGCTGTGGGCTCCAGGAGGACAGTGATAAGAAGAGGTGGGTGGTCCCAGCACTGAGGATGTGGCACATACTCCAAACTTGACAGCTGTGATCACATTTAATCCCCAGATCCAAACCTGAGGCTCAGAGAGGTGAAGTGACTTGCCCAAGGCCGCCCAGCTGCTAAATGGGAGAATGAACCCAGCTCTGCCAGACTTGGAGCTAACAGGACACCAATCCTGCTGCCTGGCTGCTTTGGTCCCTTCTCCAGGGATGTGGAGATCCAGGCTTGAGAAGGCATCTGCAGCTTTGAAGAGCTGAGCTGGGAAGGGCCAGCGGGGGGTGGGTGCAGGGTCGGGGAGGGGAGATCCCCAAGGTTATCCCGGGAGCTGACCCTGCCTGTTATGGGAGTGAACTCCAACCTGACAGCCCAGACCCAGGGCCCTGCTCAGGGGACAGTCCGTGGGGAGGGTCCCTCTCTCACAGCAACCACCGGAGAGGCCAGGGCGGGTGCAGGGAGGCCCACCTTCTGTGAGCTGTGACACTTCAGACAAGTCACTTCACCTCTCTGAGTCCATTCTGTCAACTGGAAAATGAGGCCAGAGCATTCCTGCTCGCAAGGGCAGTTTGGTTTGTTTTTATAATTTTTAAAATAAACTTTATTGTCGAATAATAATGGACGCAGAGAGTACAGAGAGTTCCCATACACCCTTCACCCAGCTTCCTCTTATGTTAACATCTTCCGTCACCCCAGTGTATTTGGCAAAATGAAGAAATCAACATTGTACAACACTGTTAACTAAGCTCCTGACTCAGTAAATCGCCAGTTTCCGCGCTAGTGCCTGGTTTCTGTTCGAGGACCCGACCTGCGATCCCATTTTGCATTTAGTGATCGTGTGCTTAGTCTCGAACCTGTGACGGTTCCTCAGTCTCCTCTTGGTTTCTAAGACCTTGCTGCTTTCCAAGAGTTCTGGGCAGGTGACCGCAGGGTGTCCCCCAGTCTGGGGATGTCTGGCGCTTTCTCATGGTTAGACTGGGCTGTGGTTTTAGGGGAAGATCCCACAGAGGTGGGTGCCTTTCCCATCACACCCCCGCAGGGGCGTGTGACACCCACGTGACCTCTCATGGGTTGATGCGAACCTTTCTCACCGAGTGAAGGGGCCGCCTCTGGATGGCTCCACCGTAAAGTTATTATTTCCCTTCCATTCTCCTCTTTAAGAGCGAGCCACTAGCCCACACTTCAGGAGAGGAGAGTCAAGTCTACCTCCTGGAGGGGGATAGATTCGTGTACATGATTTGGAATTCCTCTGTCCGGAAGATTCATCTCTTCTCCCCCATTTATTTAGAACGGCATGGACTCATGGACCTTTTTCTTAACTCTTCGCGTTATAAGCCAATAATGCCATGATTTACTGTGTTACTCAAACTGCCCCAGTGTTGGTCTTTGTTCTCTGTCCGGTTGGCTCCTGTGTCCTGCTGACATCCCCCCACCCCTTTTTTAACCTCCAAACACTGTTTTGCTTTCTGGCACAAGGTGCCCCAGGCTTGTTTTGCACATTTCCCGCCCCAGCCCTGCCATCAGCCACTTCTCCAAGGAGCCCTAGGTCCTCTTAGTGAAGACTGGCAGTCAGAAACCAAAATCTGCGTGAGACGTTTATTTTTTAAATGGCTAGAAATACACTCATGCCCAAACCTCCAAGAGCCTAACAGGTGTGAAGAGAAAAGTAAGTCTCCCTCCGAGCCCCGAGCCCCTGCTTCCCTGCCCAGGGGCAGCCACTTTTGATGATTTCTGGTGTCTCCTTCCAGAAACAGGGATGCTATACCTTGCGGGGTTACAGTCAGGACAGAGATGAGCTGTGGAACTCGAGGCAGGGCCCAGCAAGATGCCCACCATTTCTCCCCTCCTCCTTCCCTCCCTGGCCCAGCAGTTCTGCAGAGGGAGGGCAGGCACCGGCCCGGGAGCCATGGCGAGAAGGGGGCTACTCACTAATGGCCCCGGTGTACGTCGGCTGCGTGAGGTCCTTGGGCACCTTCCTGTAGATGTCAAACCTGCAGAGAGCAAAGGGGACAGGGGTGAGGTGGGCGCAGAGGGCAGGGGTCGGGCAGCGGGGGAAACGGTGCTGGCTGGTGTACCACACGGGTCGGAGGGCTGCCATCCCAAAAGGCCTGAAGGATGTTCCCCTGTTGGGACCTGCCCCCCACCCCACCTTGTCACACTTCCTTACAACTTATCACCCCCGAGACAGATGGCCTTGACCCTCATCTGGCCATGGCTCTTGGTTGGTCTTCCCCCATCAGAGTGTAACCTGCACGAGGGCAGGGACCTTGTTAGGGGTTGTCCCCTGCCGCATCCCCAGACCCTCGTCGGGGCCCCCAGTAAGCGTCAGTGGCATGACTGAACCCGAGTCCTGGCTTTCTCTGACGCTGGGAGGAACAGGGAAACGCAGTCTTTCCTGAGGTCTCTGACGGAGCTACACTCCCGCCTGGCGTCACCTCTCCGCCCCCTCTTCCCTTTCCTCCTCCACCTTCTCCTCCTGTTCCACTCCCCCCCTTCCCCAGCTCCTGCAGCCTGTTCTGGGAGAGTCTCCTCAACTCCAAGGTATGAGGTGAACAGAAAAAACCTGCCTGGGGCCCACGACCTCAGCATCAGCTCCTGACTGCCAGCTAGTGTGGGTTTCCACCCAGATGCAGAGCAGACGCCCTTCTTTCATCTGGATCCCACCAGAGCCCACAGGGGTGGTGGGGGTGCAGTGGAAGAATTGGGGGTTTTGGAGACAGACTGACGTGGGTGTCATTCTGGCCACTTGTTTTAAGAGTTAGGGCTCTAGCATCAGACTGCCCTGGGTTCAGATCTTGGCTGGTCGTCTTCCTTGCTGTGTGACTCTAGGAAAACGACTTCACCTCTCTGAGGCCCAGTCACCCTGTCTGTAGAAACGGGGCTACTACCACGAGACCAGGCCACTGCGAGGAGGTGTAAGGGACTGGACACAGCGTTCCCAGGGGAGCCTCTTCCGGCACTTGGTTTCCTCCCCTTCACTTGAACCTGAGCAGGTGGTTCTCAGCCCAATTCTACCAACGGAGCTCTAGGTCCACACCGTGTTCCCAGCTCTCGGGTGGAGAGGCCAGCTGCTCCGGCCCTCGGGGGACCAGCTGGCGTGTGGTTCCTCTTGGGTGATTGGGAAACAATGTTAGTGCCTTGCTAACCCCGATGCAACGACCTGGAAATCTTGCATAAGATCTGACACTTGACTCCTCTGCACTCGCTCTAATTACAGGTGAACGTACTTGATTTCCCGTGACCTCAGGGGAAAAAGATTCCTGTGGGCTGCGGAATTAAAGGCATCACTGTCCTTCCTACCTGCTCAGCTACCAGCAGCCTGTACTGAGGCCCCAAAGGGGACGAGAAACTGGAGCTGGGAGTGTGGTCAGGAGAGGAGTGTGACTCATGTGACTCAACTACCCACACCTACTCACCTCCCTTACTCCAGTGCTGCCCCTTTAGCTGTGAGAGGCTAATATCAGAGGGAAGAGTGTGCCCTATGGAGTTAGCCTGCCTGGACTCAAATGTGATCCCACTACTGTGTGACCTTGCGTGCATCACTTAACCTCTCTGGGCCTCAGTTCCTCTGTCTGCAAAATGGTGGCAACGGAGGGGAAGGGTATATATAGCTCAGTGGTAGAGAACGTGCGTAGCATGCACAAGGTCCCGGGTTCAATCCCCAATATCTCGATTAAATAAAACCTAATCACCTCCCCCCACTTAAAAAAAAAAAAAGGAGGCAACAATAGTAAGTATGTCACAGCATAGGGCCGAGGACCAAATGACTTAGTACACATAAAGCACTTAGACCCATGCTTGGCCCCCAGGAAGTGCGACGTGAGTATCCGCTGTTACTGTGACTGATGTTCATCTGGCCGACATTTACGAGCACCTACTATGTGCCAGCCCTCTTTTAGGTACTAGGGACGTGGGGACAAAATCGGCCCTCGGCCTTGTGTGCCTGCAGTTAGGCAGCAGAGACAAAGAAGGAGACGCAAGGAGAACGCAGGGGTGCTCCACCCTGGAGCTCCAACTGGAGGCGCCAGAGGAACCGGAAAGG